TAGCTAAATTTGAAAGACCAGAGTTAAACTTATTGGCATGTACACACTCACTGCTATTATTTTTGTTGTTTGCACATTTTTTTAACTTTCATTTGAGCATTCAAATTAGTGGAAAATCAGACCAAAAGTTATCAGCTTTCTGTAAAGAAATAAAAAAGTTTTCCTTCGTATAAAATAATAATGTGAAAGATATTTATTAAAGAATTTTCCCTCTCAACACACGAAGCCTGTGAATCAATAGAAGAACTTCCCCTCAATGACCAAGCTCCAATTCTTTCATATGTGTCACCAGCTCATACATTAGTGTGTATCAATGAGAAAAATTCCAGGGGAAGATTACAAAGAAAGTGGAATATAACCTCAAATAAAAATATAATATCGACGTAGAACTGATTTTCATTTTTGCTTTGAAATCCAGATTGTTCCAGTTCTCTTTTTATTTAGTACTTCATACCAGAGCTGTTCACAGAATTTTTCATCCCTTGAGCCATTAGACTTAGAATAGCATTTGCTCTTTTGTAGTTCAGTTGGGTTTCAAAGGTTTATTGAAGGGTTAGCACTTGATTTACAATACAAACCTTCATTTTTCAAACAGAAACAGTCTGCATATTCATGCTAATGTCATTAACTTAAACAACTGAATGTAAAGTGACATTGCAAGTGCTGCTGCTGAGGTTCCCCTGCTGCTGTGCTGCAGAGGGGTTGGCCCTCCTCTCTCAGGGGAAAGGACAGGGGGAATCTGGTTGAGGCTGATGCTTCTCTTCCTTGAGGAGTTCCACATGTGCTCAAGGCCTGATTTGAACACAGCTCTGTGTCCTGTGGTCAGTAGAGCACAAGGCAACCTTTGCTGTTCTGGTCAGGCCTTGCACCTAGGCCTGCCTGCATCATGGAATCAGAACAATTGAATGGTCTGGGATGGGACCTTAGAGATCATCTCGTTCCAAGCTCTCTACATAGGCAGGGATACATCCCACTAGACCAGGTTATTCCAAGCCCCATCCAACCTGGCCTTGAACACTTCCAGGGATGGGGCTTCCACAGCTTATCTGGGCAACCTGTGCCAGTATCTCACCACCCTCACACTACGGAATTTCTCCTGATATCCAATCTAAATCTACCCTCGTTCAGCTTGAAAGTATTTCTCCTTGTCCTCTCAGTACAAACACTTGTAAAAAGCCCCTCTCCAGCTTTCCTGCAGGCCCCTGCACGTACTGGAAGGCTGCTATGAGGTCTCCCTGGAGCCTCCTCCAGGATGAACAACCCCAGTTCTCTCAGCTTGTCATCACAGGAGAGGTGCTCCAGTCCTCTGATCATCTTGATGGCCCTCCTCTGGACTTGCTCAAACAGGTCCATATCATCCTTGGCCAGCCCCACCTGTGTCTGTGTGCTGCCCTGGGGCATTAGCCCCCCTACCTGAATGTGTACAGGTGTCTGTGCTTCTTGCATGTAGCACAGGGGAGCCAGACCTTTCTGCATGCATCTGCCCATCCTATGGAGACCCCATGGTGAGCTCAGTGGGAAGTGAACAAGGACAGATATTGGGGTGCTCAAAGAGCTCCAGGACAGAAAGGAATGGAGTGTGCAGGCAAGACATCCCACAGTCTCTGCTGTCACTGCCAGCATGGGGAGTGTACCTCAGGACTCAGAACACAAAGATCTCAATGGGTGGCCTAAGGTTCAAGGTGACAGAATAATTGTCCCATGTTTGCGTAGGGAAGAAGAGTTCAGAACATAAGGGGAACCACCACTGAAGTAAGCTTGGGAATTACATCCAGCTTTGTGCCTCCCCATAGAAGAGCCTTTCATGTTCAAACAACCTGTTTGTCACTGCTGGAAGGATATGTCTCTTTTCCAGCTGAGGTACCAGGAAAAAGGAATCGCACATTTAGTAGCTGCAAACTTGTTGGCATGTGAGTGCAGGATCTTCCACTCACAAGTGGTCTGTGCTGTGGCCCTGACTGGAGCATGGACCCCGTGGTAATGCCATAAGCAACACATTCCTCCATGATCCTCCTGGGTGCAGTGTCGTGGGAGCAGTGTCATGGGAATGATGTCTCTTGTTATCAATACAGGCTGTTCTTGTAACCCTTGTTTGGCTGCTTCTTTCCGTGCTTTCTCACACGTGCACATTTCATTCCCTAAGCATTCCTGCCAATCTCCATATTTCTGTTAAGAATGTCTCCACAAGGACTGGCCTGGCTGGATTGCTATGGATGTGTTCTGGGGGATGAGCTGGTGTCCTAAAAGAGATGTTCTGCCACGTCCCTGGGACTCTCCAGATTTCTGTTAAGAATGTCTCCACAAGGACTGGCCTGGCTGGATTGCTATGGATGTGTTCTGGGGGATGAGCTGGTGTCCTAAAAGAGATGTTCTGCCACGTCCCTGGGAGTCTTCATGTGTGTGAAGGTTTCCATATGCCCAAAGTGGATTTGATCCAGCACCAGGAGCAGAAGTCTCAGCTTCACCCCTCTAGGGCAGCACCCCACAAATATAAACCTGTAGGAGAGCCTCCCAGTATGCCTGGTGCTTTGTTCTGCTGAAATACCTTCCAGACTAGGACTGCTTGAGGGGGATGCCCAGTACTGTCCCAGAGGAGACTATGTGCAGGCCTACCTATGGGTCTGGGACAATCTCAGCTGTGGTTTATGATGCTGCTCTCCCTGCTGAAGCAGTTACTGGCCCAGCAGGCATTTTCTCTGGCAAGATGGTGTCTCTGAAGATCATGTTGCTGCATTATCTGATGTTTCTGCTGGAGATAGTCAAGAATGAGGAAGAGGATGCAGACATGGCTGTATGTATGTGACAAGTGTTTGGAACCACAACTGGACCCACTCAGTAGTATCCTCATGAAGCCATTCACAGGCTGAGACACTCAATGGTAGTCCTGCTAGTCTGCCTGTAGCTTAGTGCTTAGTGGGGACCTTAGTGAGAGAATGGTTACATTTGTGCTTTAGGGCAACACGTGGAGATATGATCACTCTGAACAGGATGACTTCTGCCCTCCAGTTGAATTTGTGGTGGGGAACATTTATAGTCACAGGAAGGAGATGTGAAACTCCTTAAGCTAGAAAGCATTTACACAGACAGACTGCCTAGTACTGCTGTCCCTGTACACCCCAGGATGGCCAGGAACCCAGGCTAAGTGGAATTAGTGACTATCCTGGGCTGCTCACAACATCCTGAGCTTCTGGTACCTGTAAATAGTTGCCCTGGGGCAAGTGAGTGGTCACATGCTCAGGCTGAACCTTGGCTCAGTCTTTGTGACCCCTTTTACTACTGCCCTGTGCAACAGGGATAGACCAGCCCCAGGTGAGCCTGGACTCTGCTGGCTGCCTGCTGGCAAAGAAGTGCTCCAGTGGAATTAGAAATTAAACGAAAACCACCAGGTCTTAACTCTCCACTGGGGTTTTTCTTTCTTAACACAGATTACTTTAATTTCCCTTAAAAAGAAGGCCTCTGAATTATCTTAGCAATACACAGATGACCTCAGTTTTATTCAATTCTCAGTCATTACCAACAGCACTTCAGAGCTCTTTTTCACAAAGCTCATCTACTGAAGTCACTTCAAGTGTAAGAACCTGAATGACCTGAAACTTCCTTTTCATTATCCTGTGGCACACCTTAATCCCACCTGAAATTCCTCTCCAACAAAAATGGGTAGAATGTTGATTTGCACTGTTCTACCAGCAGACTCCAGCTTTGCAGTGTTATTTCCTTGTTTTTATTTAGGAACTCGGGAATCACAACTGTCAAATCAAGACAGCAGAACTGCATTTTAAACAGTGTTTCAGAAGGACTGCTCATAAAAACTGATCTGTTGATAGCAACATTTGACTGCTGAGAGTAATTAGAATAACATATCAGAAGTTAAAACTGTTTTGCAGTGGATGAAGACCTGAGGAAATGTTTCTTCTAAAGCAGACTCAGAATTGCTGCGTTGAAAGGCATTTGCACAGCCATTGTGGATAGGGAAGTAATCTTCAATGGAATTAAAGTTCCTCTACCATCAAGAAGTAACTGATTCTTGTTCAAACAGTACAAATACAGAGAGGGCTTTGAGTAAATTCTTGCAAATTGAGTGTGTTTGGTGCCCCTTCAACAAAAGAAAAGGAATTAATAATTTGTCATTCACTGCATAAATTTTACTCTGAGATTCAAATTTATTTCCCAATGTTGTTTTCTATAAACTTATTTCTGTAAGAAGAATTCTAAGGTTCCTAGTGTTGCACAGTAAAAACATGGAAAGTATTTGCTTTTTTCAGATGTAAATGTATAAGTATCAAGTACTCAGGTTAGTCAAATGTTCAACTATCTGAATGTGCTACAAGAGTAAAATAGCAGCCTATTTTATTCTCTTTTGTTCTATTCAAGGTCTCCTGTCTTGATCAAGATGATGTCATTTAAAAGTGCAATTGCAGGCAAAGGCTGTGAATTGAGCTCTCCATGACCTCTGCCACTCTTACAGCTCCTCTCTGCCTGATGAGGTCAGAAGAGGGAAGTTTAGCTTCTTGACTGACAAAAAATTTCTTCCCTGAAGAACTGAAGATGTGAGTGAACCCTGGCAGCAGTATCTAGTCCACCTCTCATCCTGTGATAGGCTTAACTGCATCTGTGGGCTAAAAATGGCTTGTGGGTAAATGAGCACCCTCAGCTCTCCCCTGCCTACCAGAACAGTGCAAGGAAAACTGCAGGGATTCCTTGAGATTTCACAGGATTGCTAAGGGAGGTGTATTTTCTGGAAGTTTGAATGTTAGACTGGAAAAAGAGTCTGTATTTAAGTACTTTTCGTGTTCAAGACTGTGAAGATCATAAAATGAATGTATAAAGTTTGGTGCTGATATCTTCAGCCACCTAACTAAACCTATGATGATGTCAGTACTACTGAGATAGCTGAGGCTGAATGGAGGGGACTAAGAAGTAAGACCACATTGATAGTGTGTACGGCTGGGAGGGACTAATGAAAAATAGAAATGGAAACTTCATTTTTTATATATATATATGAAGCTTTTTATTCAATTGTTAAATAGAAAGAGGTAATAACTTAACTGTGCAGACAAGAGGAGGAGTACGCCAGAGGTATGGAAATAATGCATTTTTATGGCTTGGGGAATAAACTTTCTCAGGAAGATGAAAAATTTGATTCTTAATAGAATTAAATTTCATACTGATCCAAGCCAGAAAAGGAGCAAAGTAGGAAACACATAATTTCAATATCCACAGAATAGGTTCTTCTCCATTAAGTCAGTTGCGGATCCTAGGTTTTCTTTGAGCCTTCACTGTAAGTAAAATGAGAGAATATTTAGCTTTCTAAGCTCTCTGAACAAATTGTAACATCTCTAAAACATGTAAATATGAAATAACTTTTTATCAGACAACTAGGATTTTTTTTTGTTTTGACACATCAAAGTGGCATGGGGAGTTTTTTTACTCTTCTTTCCTTTCATAGCTAAATGGACAGAAATAGAAGCTACAAAAATGCAATGGAGAACTGCTGGTTTGGTTTGGGTATACAGATAAATTACTGTATTTCAGTGGATTTTTGTAAATTATGTGTGTGCTTTTTCTTATCCCATGGCAAATACAAGGTCATATGACATAGCTGAGCTTTCTTTCATGCTAAGGCAAGTTGCACTACTGTACAGTTGCTGTAAGCTACAGATAAGTACACAGGCATTTCTGTATTCCAGCTGATACATCCTAACTTGGAAGCATGTGATAACTTAATTGTATAGTTGTGGCCTTAGTTCTTAGTTAAATGGGACTGGAGAAAATGTGTTTTAGGTGGATACATTCTAGGAATCCTGAAAGTGAAAACACTGCCTCTCTTCTTGCCACGGGTCTGGGTAACTTGGTACACCATAGATCTTCCTTGCCCTATGAACTGTGTTATTAAAAACTGCATCTTTCAGAGAAGCAATATATTTAAATACTGCATTGTGATTTATTTTCTCTCTACTGTGCTATTAACACTAACAGTGATATTAAATGGATGTTAACGTTAATGGCACATGCATTGGAATGGTACATATCTGAGACACAAGGCAAACAGTGGATCACCTGGTTAACACCACTTGTCCTGAATGTGGTCCCATCTGCCTAAATAAGTAAGTGGTATTAGTATAGGATGGACCCACTGTACCAAAAGCAAGGTAGAAATTGATGGCTTTTGTAGAAAGCAGTTCCTCAAAAACTATTTTTCCTCTGGGAAGAGGAGTGTTGATTTGACACAGATGTTTTTCTTTGCCATTCTTTGTTCTTAGACCTACCAGAAAAAAAGCTGGCTTGGAAACCAGAAGCTGTTTCAGCACCATCTGTGACGAACTCTATAAGCATAATATTACTAGAAGCAAATACATCATTGGGTAGCTTTGATCCACAGGTCTTGTCCATTAAAACTGCAGAAGACTTGCTGGGTCCATCATAAACTTTAACATAATCACTCTGACAGCCTCTAGTTGTCTGCACCTCAAAGGCTTGAAAGTGCAGGGAAATCTGGAAGGGAAGAGAACACCAGCCTTTAATGTAAATGCATGTTACTTCTTTTATGTTTGTCCTTTAAAACAGGCTGAATCTAAGCTGTAGCCAAGCCTGAACTGGAACTGCCTACCCAGCCTTGCCTTTCATCCCCTGAAGCTGCAGGGTTCAGATCTAATGAGCCTGTGATGAATGCTCCCATGCTCAGGCCTCTTTGTTTTGATTTTGCTAACCTGAAGCCCAATATATGGAGGTTTTTCAAAACTGCGGCTCTGCAGTTGTCTTTGCCCACAGCTGGCTTAAGGACATGAAGAAGTAATAGAGATTAGTCTGAAATATCTCTCATGGAAAATATCTTATCTGGTAACTGGTGCATAGACATTAACATAGAAAGAAGTAAGTTCAGCCACACTCCAGGACCATTTTTAACCTGTGTTTACCTTTCTGGATCGGGTTCGGATGAGCCAGACACAGTTGGTGTTATCTGAGTAATTTCTTGGGTAGTTGGCAGATCTCAGTGACCCAGATGCTGCTTCAAGAACAGTGCTGCAGCGACCTGAGGAAGAAACAATGTTTGCCACAGCACCAGACTTGCAGAATCTTCCCCTCATTTACAACTACAGTATCTTCAGAATGGACTGGTCTTGTTTTTCTGATCTGCCAGCATTCATTTCAGAGTACTGGTACATTGGGATTAAAATGAAGAATCATGTTGATCTAATTTTCACATAATGCATAAGTATCTGCACGGAAAGTAATGGAGTGCTTGGAAAAAGCATTAGCTTTTATTTATTAGCTCCATATTTTAGCAAGCAATCTCTTTCTTTACCTGTATTAAGAGTGTGAGAGGTTTCAATTCACTGCAGTTGGTGACATTATTTTCCATTGGGATGGGAAAGTCAAGTGATATTAGAAAAGCCAAAGGCAAATATGATGTGTCTGCAATGCTTTATTTCTAAACTTAGGAGGAGAACTTGGGTTTTCCTCTATGCAAGGGGTGATAATTTATTCATCATGGTTTTTTCATTTGACTGAATTAATTTATCTGTTTCTATAGGATAATTTCTTCAAGCAGAGGTTAAAATTAATGAGTTAAAAATACATAAAAATTGAGAATGACATCTTAAACATTTGAAAACTGGACAAAGCCTCATGAAACTCTTCTAGTTCAGAGGAGCCTGCAACTGTTGGTTTTGCTCAGGTCTTAAATACTATCTGCAATGAGGAACAGAGATGTCTGGCTCTTTCTGGGGTTTGTACTTGTTTCCTGGCTGTAAAAACCAAATTACTCCACTGAGGCATAGGACATGGTATGCAGTTAGGCCAGTTGCACAGCAGCCAGTTATGCCAGTAGTGAATGTGTTTGATTACTTTGGAAGCAAAAAACACTTTCTGCTAATCACTATATGCCTCCAGCTTCATCTTTGCATTCTCTCCCAGTATAACCCTAATGAGTAGCTGGAATTTAGGAGAACAGTTGCATGGTTTTCAATGAGAAACTGCTGCCTCTGCAGTGCACTCAAATACCTCTATGAAGGACATGAGTAGAAGATGGAAGGATGACTCTGAGATACTTACTACAATTGTAAAGTTTGTTGATTTTAGCCACGTCCAAGTTGCTCAGCCCCTGTCTCTGTCCAATATGTACTGATCCATCAGGAATTGGTACAATAGTTGCTTTCCCAGTGGTATTACTGAAGGTGTATCTGAAAAAAAAAAAAACAACCCATGAAGAATTTTATTCTTTAAGTACAAGTTATTTCAAGATGTAAAGGTAGGTTTTGGAGGGAGAACAAGAAATGCATACAGATTAATGCTGGGACTAACAGCACTGTTAGAGAGGTTTGACTGAGATGACCAGCAGTAAGCAGAGTCAGTCTCAAGATGCCTTCTTTTGCTCCTAAGCTCAGTTGTAAATGGCTCCTTAATGGAAAGCTAGAGGATAATTAATTAATCTTAGAGAGTGGCTTGTTTGAACTAAATCATAGTTTTTTTCAGAGGGTGAAATGAGGAAGCTGGTAGTTAGGAGAGCTATAGAAGCATTAGAATTAGCTACAGAAGCTTATTCTAATCTAAGGTTTGAGTTCCAATGAAAGCAATGCCATGCTGCTACTTACGGGCCGTAGTGCATTACTGAGGAATAGTCATATGGAAGACCCAGGTTGTTGGAGTGTTCAAATTTCCTGAAGTCTGATCTGTCACCTGTAACATATGATACTGTACTTAGAGTTTGCTTCCTATCTGCTCCCTTCAGGGAAGAAGGAAGAGCTGGGACATGTAGGATGTGTTTACACATGGAGGCGTTTAAAGGTACTTACCTGGACTGATGTACTCCCACATGATCTTAACATGTTTATCCCTGTCACTTCGAGAATGTTCATGCAAGAAGCCCAGAGCATGATCCAGTTCATGTTGAATTATTCCTTTCCACATGCAGCCTCTTTTCATCACAGAGACAGTTTGTCCACCTCCTACTTTCCCATAGTTGGACCAGCAGCTGAGGGAGGCATTGAACAGCAACAGAAGACTTACAGGATTTTCATTGTCAGGCAGACAAAGGGACAGTACAGAGAACCTTGCTTCACACATGTTGTGGGAGTAGAAGGATTCCTTACTGTCCACTGTGATAGTCTACAGAGGGGCAAAACTAACCATAGTGTAGGAAACAACAAATAGTATGATCATCACTAAAGCTTCCTGGAAGACCTTCATTATCATGGATGCTCCTACATTCTGACTTTCTGTACACAGTGATTTTAACTCCCTAAAGAGAAATCTTTTTTTTCCAAAATGCTGAACACTCTATTAGAGCTGGAGCTAAGTCCAATAGCACTTTCAAGTTAATGGGTGTTGAAGAATTTTCTCACAGGATCTAATTCTGACCTTGACAGCTAACAGTGTGATTCAGAAAACTGTTTATTTCATAAACTGAAACTGGATTTGCCTTTGAAAATAACCGACACTAATCTGTTGTTTGTTTTGTTTCATTGTTCATTATACCCCACAGAAAACGTGAGCCTTGCTATTCTTCCCACCTTAATGCTGCTTTCCCATTATCTGCTTCACTTCTGTGTCTTCAGTGAGTCCGTTATGCAACTGCCAAGTCTTTGTACTAGCAAGTTATCCAAGGAGGATACCTTGGCACTGTGATAAAACATAGTTTCTTCTTTAAATCCATCCCCCTTTCCTATCTAGGGTCATTACAGAATGAAGTGTAGTGAAGCATTGAAAAACAATGTAGAAATAACCTGTTAATTTATCATCCAACTTACCCATCTGCAGATCTAATGCTGAGGTAGTCACGTTCTGTTTTGCGCTTCACAAAATTAATACAAGTCAGTGTTTCAAATTCTGCCATGGCATCTTGAATCCCCTTTATGTGGCTCTTCTCTGGAGAAGAAAGGGTTAATTATGGGGGTCAAACAAGGACAATATCAGGTGCCATTGAAATCTCACCTGTGCTCAACACCAGGGTAAACAGAAACATTAGAGTAGGTCCTTTCTTGACTTTTGCTCAGTAATGCATTTCATTTAAGATACTAATAGTCTAGCACAAGATCCTCTTTGTCCAGATATTGATCCAAATTTTGCCAGATGGAAGCTTTTTTTCTCAACTACTTGTTTTAAATTATAATGGTGATTGTTAATGTGTCTTCTGAAGATGTACTTGGAGATAGCTATCAGAACGATTTTGGTGAAGAAAAGTAGGACATTGAAAGCACACAGCAATGGGCATAAAATTTAAAAGGCAGGTATTTTGGCAGGCACTATTAGAGGGAATGATCATTCTTTTGTCCAAGAGATCAGACCCAAAATATTATGGATGCAAACTTCTCAAGTGAATTTTATCTTTTTTCTCTTTCCTGTTCAGGTCTTTGCAATTTACAATTCATCTGTGCTTACACAGCATAAGTAAATCATTAGCTTTGATTAAATCTGCCTGTGGTGTGGCTACTTAAAGTAGGCTTATATCTGAAGCTTATGGATAAAATCCATTAAAAAAAATATAAAATCAACCGAATTCACACTCACCATAAGTAGGATCTAAGACATAGGGAACACGAACGATCCCATCGCGGGACTGGGGCCAGTTGCAATTGCGGCAGTTGATGGCACTGCGACTCCTTCGTGGAACTATGTCTCCTTCTTGCAAGTATTGAGAGCTGTCTGTGATGAGAGAGGAAGTGTGGAAACACCTGAGCCATAGATTGCTAGATACTTGCTACGCCCACTTAGAAAAGTCTCACTCTCTAGTCATCTTCCTTTTTTATTTTTCCCTAAGCCACTGCTCCTGGCTGGCATGAGAAGTGGCCTCTTGGGCTAGATGAACATGATCTACTTCCCTATCTTTGCTGCTGTGTCCTTAGCTTAGAGGAGAGGTGGAAAGCTCCAAGTCTGTTGTATGGGGTTGAGGCAAGGCAGGGAGTGCATGAAAGCAGTTACAATAGTGAAAAGGATGCTGTGCTGTTTCTGCACCCTTGATGACACATGACTGAATAGCATTAGATACCTGCGCTGGAAGGGTGCTGGGCAAAGGCAGGAGGTGCCAATAAGGAAATGCCAGAGGGCAAGCAAACAAAAAAGAGAATTCAATGTTATCTAGAGGAAACTGTAGGAATGTTTGGTGTCCATTTCAACAGAGAGTAGTTACGCTTCCTGAGTGACTGCTGAAGGGGAAAATACGAGAAATGCAAGCTGATAGAACAGGGAATGTTTGGAAGAATCAAGGAACAGGAAGTCTGGATCTGGGACCATGGAAATGACCTAGGAGTCTGTACTACAAAGCCATAAGATGACTGAACGCAAGTGATGCTTGCATTCAAGTAAAGATAGTGAAATAGTAAAGCATCCAAATATCCAAGTTCCTTTTCTATGTTAAAACAAAGTTACTAAGACATTGAGAGCTAAAGCTGAAGAAACTGCCCTGATAGTTCAGGTACTTCCACATGCAGTATCACCTTCAGTATTGACACTACAGCTTTGAGATCCCATGGGACTTCAGCAGATCTCACTGTGGCCTGTATCTGGGTGTGTCTTACATGATGGTTTGTAAGATGGGAGAAGTATTTGTACAGATTGTGGTAAGATGTTGTACCTTCCACACTACCCACAAAATGCATCAAATAGAGACCCACTATAAGCAGGGCTTTGGTGACATTACCTTTGTTAGCTTCCAGAATTCTGTTAAAAATAACTTCTTCCTCAGAGTCAGTCTCTGCAGGCAACGGAGATTCTGTGAAGAAACACAAGAATATAACTGTCTCTTTCCCAGTGGAAAACAGGAACCCTGATTTTTAACCTGATGAGTTTCCAGGAGCTCACATCAGGTCCTGATTACAGCGATGCACGTAAAACATACGGAGACTATTTAGAGATTGGCATGGCATTCAGTCTTATAGAGATTTTCTCAGTGACACAACTTTGTGAACATTCCAGCTGTGGTTACTTTAGCATTAACCTAATTCCAAGAGCCATGCTTTTTCAGTCTTTCCCTCTCCTCCTTTCCTCCCCTCCCCCCAACATGGCATCACATATTAAGCCCTGGACCTTTAGCTCCTGCAAGTCTGTATGGTCCCACTTGAGCAGCCAGCCAGCTGCATGGCTCCCTCTGTGCACTCAAACAGCACTGGTCTCCTTCTGCAGGCACAGTTAGCTCTCAAACCACTGACATAAGACAGCAGGAGCAAAAAGGAATGGAAAACAGTCCTGCTGCTTGCTGTTGGACATGCTGACTTCTTGAAAAACCCTTGAAACCAATTACATGGCAACTGCCTTCCTACTCCATGGGTTGGACTCATGTCCCCAGCTAAGTCCAGCATCAGGGACTACTAGGCCTTATAAGTAGAATCAGCCAGCCCAGAACATTGTGCAGTAAGCCTTGACATCAACAAAGAGCACAAGCACATGGCCTCTGCTCTTTCTGTAACCTTTGGAAGAGACTTAAATCAAGAGATTATTTAAGCAGAGCTATTTTTAGCAAAAGTAACAGCTGAGATTTTTAGCAAGCCTGAGCAATTGGCCAAGACCAAAATACTCTGTTTTGCATATTATGGTGAGTGCAGTAATTTGGAATTTCTTCCTTAAGATTAATTTGTGTTTAGTATGTGTTATTTTCTGAGTAACTGGGTAGCTAGCAATCAATATATCAAATACTTACATTTAGATGGAATAATACCTACCATATATATCCTCTTGCGTAGCTACCTGCAAGAATGATGCATTTGCATTATTTCACACTTTATATTATAAAATAAATATTAAATAATATAGCTTGTAAAGGATCAAAATTATCCAGGCTACCACTGAAAGTATGTTTCATCAGTGCTGTCTTGAACTTCTATACTGTGCCATGTGTAAAGAAGTACCATGGTATGGTATTTCTTCTTTGATATCTTAGCAAATATGGACACTGTAAAGAGAATCAGCATAGGAGATTCAGAAAATGCAATCTGAAGTGTGGAGTGAGTTTCAGACCTTCCAGCTTTATTTCTGTTCTGGCTAGTAGGAGTGCAAGGTTACTGGAATCCCCAGCAAAGTCCTCCCAGTATCACCTCCTAACAGAGCAGTGAAAGGCCATGGTATCTACTGCTTCTAAGGGACTGTACCCACCTGTGGGGGGCACGTCTCTAGCAAAACAGATTGGAATACTGCTCTTGCTTTGTAGAAAACAAAACCCCAAAACAGCTCTGAGTTTTCTCTATAACCCCAGAGAAAGCAAAATCTTCCTGGGCTATACCTCAGAACTGTGGAGCAATAAATGGAATAGGGATGGAAACTGCTCACTCTCTTACTGTGTTGTTCTGAGAAGACTTTCCTACACAGATGGAAATACGGGTACAGTACAAGTGTTGTCTTCACCTTCCACAATGCTGAACGCCAAAGTGAACAAAAGAGCTGATTTAGCTGTCCTTACCTCAGTAGCTTCTGTTGCTGCAGAAAGCAAAGAAGAAAAAGACAAAAAAGAGGCAAATTAGATTCTGAATGCAGCTTCACTGTGTTCAATAGCACAGGCCTTCTTAGCCACTGGAATGTCTTTGGTCAGTCTCTTTGCTTGGACGGGAGTGGGGTGCCCTACCTGATGCATATGCACAGAAATGAAATTGATGTTTAGACAAACAGCTGTGAAAATTCCTAGCAGATAATACTGAGGAACAGAATCCACATCATTCACCATCTAAGAATCAGCAAAGCATTTTATCATCTTCACTGTGGAAACTAGCAAAGGATACTAGGGACAGAAATACGATTTGTCACTAGATTTCACTGCAACAGGTGCAGCATAACCAGTTGAACAGTCCCCTCTGGTTTCACAGTGTCAAAGAGTGAAGTTATAAAATGGGATGAAGCCTATAAACATACTAAAGAGACATCCTTCTATTCATAATCTATCTAGAAACTGCAATAGAATTGCTTTTACTGAGCCAAAAAGGCTACAGTCTGTCTTTCAAGACTATTACTTTGGTTACACGGCAATGAAAGTCCACTATAAATGGTAGCGGTTTATTATAGGAAAGTTCAGTCACTTCCCACCAGTTGCATCAGAGAGAGCCATGGCATCTAAAAAAATTCTGCAGGAAAGCACATTTCTGAGATGCAATGACCAGATTCAGACTTCACGCACCCAAGAAGCACTAGATTAATTGACTAGTCAAAGTCAGTGGAAATTAGGCTCCAGATTCCTACGCACATAAAGCTTGCTGTCCTTTTTTAAAACACTGATGAGATATCACAGGAGGCATCTGCCATGTCCTTGATCAAATGAACATCTGGTGCTCAAAATGATACATACAGTTTGTTTTTTCCCTGCACTGTAAATACTGAAAGATCTCTCAAAGGGCACCAAAAAAGCAGTAACAATGGTAAAATAAAGCTCCTTGTATGGGTTTGTCCCACTAATGCTGCAACTTTGAGCCCCAGCAACTGACTACTTTGAACTCAAGCATGTCCCTCGGCCAACTCTGTATGTACTGAGAGGTACTTTTACAACATTCCTTTGCTTCCATGCCATAAATGACAGCTCAAAAGAAGAACTGATCACTTTTCATTAGTCATTTAATTGTCATGACTATGTCAAGCAAATTCTTCCAAGACCTCTTCCTCTCACAACACATCACTCCCAACCTGGCAGTTTCTTTCTGTAGTTAAAGTTTACCTGCACTTTTTTTTTTTCCATTGAAATTTTCTGGAGATCTGCAATGACCTCCTTCTATTTTGTGAGTTGACAAAAGCTGTTCAGCTAAGCCTGTACTATTTGTTTTCTATTCCAGGTCAAAGCAAAGGTTTCTCTGATGCCTGACATCTCTTTCTTTTACTGCTGCACCAAGGTAGGCAAGAAGGCATATGAGTTGTCCTTTTGAAACACTCAATTTCATGGAAAGGTATCAAAATGCCTTATTAAAATCTTATTTTCAAGCCCATGAAAACACATCTAAATTAACTCAACGAACAACACCTCAAAAGTATGTGTAAAACACATCTGACTGAAAACACACCTGCATTCAGCCAAACAATAAATTAGGAAACATGGCCTTACTCAAAAGGCCTGAGAGTCAGTGCTTCCACATGCCATGTCACTCATATGCCAACAAAGTGTGTGAGGCACACTCCAGAATTAACATTTTACTTTAAAATACAGTATAAAACCTACTTACTTGCTGTGCTGTTTTCATAGTTTGCTGTGCTGTTTTCATAGTTTGCTGTGCTGTTTTCGTAGTTCTCCTGCAAAACCAAGAGGTAAAAGGCATTACTTATCCATAGTACATAAAAACAACAATAACATCAAATTCAGGCCAAAGGGAGAAACTTAATTATGATCTTTTTTTTTCTATATTATTATATTACTAATATTTTTCTTGCAGGAAATTTATCAAAATGGGTCTCCACAACTTCACACCAGGAAGAAGAAGTCAGTCAGAAGACAGAGCGCAGTTGCACGGAAATGCTCTCACCTGAATAGGGAAGCCCAAAGTAGCGTGAAGAAGAAATGCAGTGAAGACAAGGAACATCTTCAGATCCATTCTCCAGCCCTGACAGACCACCAGTTCGTGTCCTTATCTCTGCCCCTTCAGGAGTGCTGCTGCTAGATATACCAGCAGAGCCTGCTCTGCCAGGGCTGAAAAAACCTGCACCAGCCAATGGGGATCCTAGCAGGAAGAGAACTTCTTTGCAGCCAGTTTAGCCTCTGGGCATCACCTCCCGCTGTCACTATGATCTATAGCATCCCTTCTCCCCATGCTGTCATTTCATGCAGCTCTCTGGAGCCTGATCAGCTTCATGCTTATGCTGCCATGAGCTTCCTCTGGTTCTTGGAGGATATTTCCTTAGGTGTTCAGTTTGACTGTTAGCCCTTGTTCCTGGCTGACTTTCCAGAGTACTATAGTCTTGCAGACTGTGGGTGACTTTTTTCTTTATGTCACAGAAAGCACAGAAGGCCATGACAGTATTGGGTTGCTTTGGAACATACATTACTGCTCAGTGAGGTCATGTCTATGTCTTCCCTGAGAAGGTATCCTTCATATCCTCAGCTTATGATTCAATGAGTAGAATTTTTGTTTCTTCCTCTCTGTTTCGTGGTGTTTCCTAACATCAGAGACATTCCCTGCCTTCCATAATTTCTGGCAGTCTGACAGTTGTAGGTGCCCTTGTGAGCTTTTGACCAGCAGTCAGAGAGGGGAAAAAAGACAGCAGCAGATAAGCAGCACTTACTAATTTTGATTTACACATCTATGCTTGCTGGAATGCGCTGGCCTGGAAGTGGATGTAGGAAGTAGTGAGCAGACCTAGCAAGAAATGCTTGTAGGAGATAAACCAGCAACCATGGAGTTTCTTGTGGCAGCAACCTCTGGTGGTAACCTCTTCTTGCAGCAAAGCTCTGCTTGGTGAACCATTTGCTGAAGGTAGCTGGGGGATTATCTGGTCTCTGATACACACTTGGTTCATGTCAGAGTACATTTTCCATGCATGGAAGCTGAATTTTAGAATGTACAGATTCTGCCTCTAGACCATGCCAGTGTTCAGGTACCCTCAGAGCAAGTTTTAAACACATTTGCACTGTTATTCATTCTTTCTATATTGAAAAAAGATGTTACAGAAGTTATCCATGTTGATGAATTAATCAAGAAGCAGCTTAGCACTTATTTGTCTCCAAATCATGCACAGTGAAGGCTAAGAATTACATGGAAATGTAGTCTGAAATGCACCGGTAAAGTTTCATGACGCCCACAAGGAGGCAGCAATAACTACTTTTCCTCTTCTGTCCCTGCGCTTTGTCTGAAGCAAGAAGTAGTGAAAAGCAGGGTAGCACATGGTTCTTGTGACCACGAAAGAATAAAGACAAAGTAGACATTGTCAGCATGCTGATCCTGCAGACACAGGCAGTTCGTGTGCAGAAAGTTTCTTTGTGCAGAAATGTTTATGCTGATCCTGCAGACACAGGCAGTTCGTGTATCCTCTTTGTGCAGAAATGTTAACGTTAAGCAATACTAAGTGCCTTTCCTCATTTTGTGTGTCACAGGGATGAAAATCTTCCTTGTGCTGAAGCAAGGCTGTCTAGAATGGTTCCCCAGATTTCTTACTCCATACAAGGGCAAAACAGAAGTCCATGATGCCAGATGCTTTGTTACACCAAAACCATACAAAAAAGACACTATGGAGTGGGGCTTCTGTACAATATGTTTAGGGGAAAAAAGGAAAGACCTCACTCGGGTAAAAAAACCAATCTAGAAGCAACAGGAGGGATCAGAGATAGTGAGGGAATAAAACAAGGTTGAAAACCGAGTTAGGAAGATCAGTAACCGTAGCATCTTTGTAGCATTTTATTGAGAAGATCCTACGCTCCCCTAAGGGACTGATTAACTGTTTGTGCTCAGTTAAGAGTGAAAGAACTGGGCTGGCAAAAGGATGCTGCACATTGTATGCTGGACAAACAAATATGCTGGCATATTAAGTAGTTCATCAGGCAGATTGCTGCATGGTACCTTTTCTGTGTGCTAACACAAGTGATGATGGGCAAGATTGCTGTTACAATCAAGAATGTGGCTGTAAATGCTACAGCTGCTAAAGTATACACAACAGAGTGAGGGAGAGTGCTGGCACTCATGCCTGCTGCCTGTCCTGAAATCCTAACAGCTTTGGTTTGTGCCTGATATTTAGATTTAATATTTAGTTATTTTCCTAAGGGTGCTATTAATGAGGGAGGAATTGTTAATAGTGTTGTTCTCACTCATTAAAAAATTGCCTATTTTTTTGAGCTGTTGCAAAAATAGGACATGCTTTTACCAGATGCAGTAAAGCTGGTACCTCTAGCAGAAAAAGTACTACATAAATTGTCTTGAACCTTTAGGAGCCAAATTAGGGCTTAACAAAGAGAAGCTGTCTTTGCATGTACAGAAGAAAAGCATGTGGGAAATTTTGACAGGGCTCAAGTTCTTTTGCCTGTATGTCCCAGTTTCTGGTGGACATTTGGGACAACAGAGACTTTGCAGATGTGAACGATGATTGGCAGGTGTTCAAAGTCAACAGCACAATGTAAAAAATTGCTTGGATAGTGTCATACCCTACAAGAAGTCTGTCAGCAAAAAGACCTCCTGAAAGAGCAAGAGAAAATGTGGAGTTATGCTCGAGGACATATGGCTGATTTGCAGAGACCTGTATGCATAACCAAGAAAAGGCTTTACAGGCATGTCAGTGACAAAATGTGTTTCTTCTGTTGCATATGGGAGTTCACTGTAAAGTACACATAGCCAAAATCAAAACAGCAGATGTACAGAAGTTACAATTCGTCTGTAGACATCTTTCAGATTTTGCTCAGTTGTGTGTCATTTAGGCATATGTGTTAGCAACTATTATTCTGTTTGGAGTGCTTCCTTATAAGCAGCTCACAAAATATAATGTAAACCATCTATACCTAGTTACAAGAAAAGAAATGAAGTGTCTATTACGGCTAACTACTAACCTCTATAACTACTAGCTATTATTTGCTGTAGTAAAATGCAGGAAAAAATAACTTCAGGAAATAAGAAAACAAAGTTATGTTGAAAGGCTTATGGATGTTATTTGGTAGTTACCATACCCTGTTCATGGTAAGATATTACCAAATCTTAAAAGATTTAAAATCATCTGGCTTTAACAAAACCAACAACTAAAGCAATGGTATGCTCCACAATGCATAACTCACATTGTTGTGGATTGGCATCACATAAATAAACACCACACAGTTACATTTACAGTCTGGGGTAAATTACAAGTTTGAACCTGGAATATATTATTTTAGACAGGAGTGCTCAATATAATTTCTGAGGAATGTCTGCTTTTTGGGCATTCTGGTATTTTGGCTCACTTTTATTTGGAAGAGGAAATGTGGTTTCAGCTCAGCTCTGGGCTCATTCATTCTGAACCCCAGTTCCCTAGCCAGGAATTCTGCTCCCGTGCACTGCATCCACTTCAGTACTTTTTAGTTTCCCTCTCCTTTTTGGTAAGGCAGTGTTTAGAAGTGATTAATTTCAGTCGAACTCATGCTGTGCTTGGCTGGTAGAGACTAATATTGAGGTGTTGGCTTCTTCTGAGGCTTTCATAGGTAACCAACATAGACTTCAAGTCCCTGTAGACTGGCATGTGTCATAAAAGACAAGTCTGGATAAGGCAAGTGCAGTTAGAAGCTGTTTTCCTACACTCAAGAGCATACTTGTTGAATCAGTGGATTTATTTGTCCCTCTCTACACTCCTCTGGATCCCCCCTCCCAGAGAACACCTGAAGTTGGTCAACATAATTCCCATTCTGCTTTCTGTGTTGCTTCCAATTTCTGAGGAGCTCCTGAAGGAGCCTATAGCAATGAATTTGCACAGTTTGCAGATTCCTTAGCAGAGCACTAACTCATCCTCCATGATATTAATCACTAGCTCCAGCTGTAGTCCTAGCACTGCCAGTGCTTCTGTGAGAGAACTCTAACCTAAATTATCAACATTGGCTTTCTATTGATTAGTGACTTTTCTATTCAAAGAGCCACACCTAGAAACTTTGATCTTCAGTCTGTCACCAGAAGAAAAAGCTATTTTTCTGTTGTGATGGATTGTTCTTTACAAAATAAAAACATGCAGTTAGCAACAAACTAGTAAAGTTTGGAAAGGTCAAAACTTCTAAAATAAATTTTGAGACAAAATTTCATTTTAAAATCAGATGTCAAGGCCAAATCTAGCAAGATATAATTTAACAATTAAACTGGAGTTTGTAATGACAGATGATCCAATGATTATTTGGGCTAAGGGAGGGGAATGGAGGTGATGAAACTGGAACTTTAATTTGGACAACTCTAGTAATGAACTTCTGATTGTCTTGAGAAGAAAAGACAAATTCCTTTCTTTTATCAGGGGAAGCCATCTGATTTGTCTGCTGCCCTTAGGTGAAGAATGGATGGATCAAAGGTTTTACACGATGTTTCCAGCCTGCAGAACAATGTTAAGCTGATTGCAAAGGAATCCATGTGATGGGGTAAGGTGCAAGCTTTTGGAGCAGTGCCTGGGGTTATCTTTGGTCTCTCTGCCAGCTGCACACGTATAGCACTGGGGAGGTCTCTTGTCTGCCTCTCCTTGTGACACATTGTGCAATGCCAGCCAGCCTCCCTGCTTGGTTTCATCTCCTGTGAGAAAGGGTCTCTCTCCTCTTACCAATGGGCAACTTTAACCGTGCCATGGGAGTGACCCGTGTGAACGTTCGTTCAGATACTTAACTAAGGGAATGGAAGCACAGTCTCATGTCTGCTTCTCAGAGGAGTGCACGGGAGCTGACTGCGTGTATTGTAAGAGGAAAACACCACATTTCTGCCTTTACTGTACACAGATCTGCCTGATAAGAGTCCCTTGGTAATCCTGGTCATTGTCTCTTGCCCTGGAACAAATATGCTGCCAAACACTATCATCACCATCAGCTCGCTGCACCTCACTGGCTTTTTTTTCCCCCTTTGTACCTCATGAGAAAGGCTGCCTGTACTGCCTGTCTCAGTACTTTTGTGTGTTACTCACT